AAAATTCTGGTATGACGTCTGCGTACGACCTCCCGTCCTTACAGACGCTGGGAGCTCGAGGAGGGGGAAGGGAGTCAGGAGTCGGGTGAAATTTTGCATTTCCAGCACCCCGCTCGTTTCGGTGGTAAATCACATGGCCTTCCGGACTTTAAGAGGGAAAAAAAACAACAACAACAAAAAAGGCCTTTTTTCGACCAAGGTTTTATATCTAAATTAACTTGGAAAACAAGGAAAGAGCTAGAGCGAGAAATAAGTAGCCTGCGTTGCAGCCGGCCCACGCACTCGTCTAAACCATTTGTATAGTCCGTCTGCGAATTAGTGCACCACAGCTCGTTCTAATATCCTGCAGAGTCGCAAGGACATATGTGAACGTTTCGGATAGGCGGATTTCTTACCTGTTTCTTATGAGCCTCACGATTGGCCTAATTCTTACGTGTGCGGGACGAAAAAGAAAACAGTGAACAATGAAAGAGTAGTTCGAACTTTAAAGCCGTCTTCTGAACAAAAAAAATGCTTTGAGAGAATTCCTTCAAGGCCATAATTTGCTTGTAAATTTGCCGACTGGTTTTCCAGCGTCTTCCAAACGCTACAGATGCACTGCCGCGTATTCTGCAATCTAGCCGACAGTTCTAGAGTCAAAACAAATCAGGAAATCTCGATATTCACGGCCAGAAAAAAGTGCACACATGTAGTTATTCAGGTCCAGGCATTTCGGAGAAAACCAAAGAAACTGAGGTTATTTAGCCGCAATAAAAAAGTTTAAGGCTTGAACAGCGGTAAAAGAAAAATGTTTTAATGGTAAACTGCATCTGTGATCAAATCCTGTCAGAAAACATTAGCTGAAACATAAACCACAGGAACTAATTCAATTCGATATGCATGGAACAGACAAGCTTCATAACCTCTAAATGTGAGACGCAAAGCGGAAAAAAATTGCTCAGTCAAAGTGTACAATACTCCACGCACTGCATAAACTACGCAAAAAGAGAGCAAGAAAAACCTCTGTTGCTCAAACTGACTACTCTAAGGTCACGTTTCACATTATCACGAGCTCAGTCTCTCTTGTCACGAGCTATGAGTCATGTTTGGCCTGTCAACACTTAATTCAAATCGGACTAATCACAAACTGGGTAAGAAACTAGCCAATCAAAAACGCCGACTTATGTCGTTGCGACTCTGCAGGATTCGAACACGATATTGTGCACTAATTCGCAGACGCTATATACAGAAGGTTTAGAACGTCTGCGACGCAGGCAAGAAATAAGCAGCGCTGAGAAAAAGCAAATATTATATTAATACTGGCAGTTTCCGACATCACAACAACAGTGGCTCCACTCACCCATCGATAGCAGCGTCGAAGGAAAACAAATTGCCTCCTTCATTTTCGGGTTTTAAATCTCAAAAATGTGTCCATGAATCCAGCTATGATGGGGTCTCAGGAACAGACAATGATAGACAGTCGTTAAAAAACCTTAGCAAGTGTCTTCATCTTTGGCTGCTTGAAGCGTTCTCCTGATTTCAAAACGGAAGTATACTTCTTAAAAACGTTTCTTGTAAACGCCGAGCTCTCATAATCGAGGATGAATTTAAAAACACTTACTTTGCTGATTGTTGTAAACCAAGTTATCTTTAACAGGCTGGTGACCATATAAAAAAATCCTTGCACATTTCCAAGTTCTTAGGTGAATGATTTTGAAAGCGTTGGTCTTGAAAAAGTTTGAATTTGACAAAGGTAGTAGTCTGTTTCAGCCAATCAGTTAAATGAACTAAAAACGCGCGCGATGTCAAAATTTGTTGTTGAAGTTATGTTTTTCGTGTATATTATTAATAAGTTATCACATGATTTTTCTCGTGCAATTTAGAATAAATAAGCACTTGTAAATTTTTCAAAGACCACAAAGTGCACTCGCCCAACGGGCTCGCGCACTTTTGTTGGTCTTTGAAAAAATTACTCGTGCTTATTTATTCCAAATTGCACTCGAAATCATGCGATTACCTATACATATTGTGGTTAATGATAAATTTACTGAGTCTTTGATACATTAGTTTTTCAAATATTCTATTGAATATAGACAAAAGAGAAATAGGCCTGTAATTTCTTGCGTAGGACTCATCATCATCTTTATAAACTGGCACAATCTTGGCAAGTTTTAGTTTGCTGGGATGTTTACCTTGGATGACAGATAAATTGTAAATTTTAGCAAATGGCTGGCTAATAATGTGTTTGCAGCCTTTTAGGATTTTAACAGGACAAGAGAACATGCCATAAGACTTGTAGAGGGGCAAGGCCTGAATTTGGGCACTGACATCATTGGGAATAATGGGTTCAAAGTTAAAAGAGTTTGGCAAACGGTTGTTAGTGAGATAATCATTAAATGAGTGCTTAATAGGTGGTAGTCTGGAAGCAAGGTTATGTCCAACACTAGCAAAATGCTTATTAAGCACATCTGGGACTTGATTTTGAAAGTAGTAAGGACAAGCCTTATATCAATAGGTTTACATAATTGATGGGTTGACACAATAGGGGCATTTAAACAAGGAAAATAAGACGCGTCTTACATAAGACGCGAACTGTACCATTAATACGAGCATGTCTTATCTAACACGAGAACAGCTCGTATAAATGGTTTGCGTCTTACTTCTGTTCTTGACTCGTTTTCATGTGAATGTTGCCCGTAGCAACGCGATGCAACGTGGCCCCATAAATTAACGCATGCGTACTATGCGTTCGCGTCTTATGTAAGACGCGAAGGTCATTTATACGAAGTTTTTCTCGTCTTAGCTAAGACGCGTATTATCTAAGAACAGGTGTTAAGGGCTGTTCTAAAATAAGCCGCGTCTTAGCTAAGCCGCGTCTTATTTTAGACGAAATGGTCGTTTATACGGAAAGTTCGCGTCTTACTTAAGACGCATCCCATGTAAGACGCGTCTTATTTTTCCTCGTATAAATGGCCCTAATGACTTGATTGATGAGTTTACATTACATTACAGTTTACACATGTTGACATTGACAAGTTTACATAACTGCATGATAATCGATGATAATTGATTGCGGATACTTCTATGATCTCTGTGCCGTGACTGAGAAATGCCCAGTTTTCAAAAGTAGGTTGAGTTTGATCGTCTGGGTGAACGTAGTCCTGAATAGGACTGTTGTTGTTGACAGTGACTGACGTTTCGACAACCTGTGCGGTAGTCATCTTCAGAGTCAAAGTGAGTTGTATCACGTCAGTTGATGGTATCATACTCTGGTTACTGATCTGATTGGTCAATTACGTCGTGATGTTATTGGTCGTCTGTCAGTTAAGCCGTGATGTTATTGGCTATGAAGACTCGTAATCAGTAATTGGTGCGTTTCGATCCGTCTATTATCACAGTTAAACAGTCGTCTATTGTTAGTCAAATTGTCATTCTCTCGTAGTTAGTTTTGCTTGATCTCGTCAATAAGTCGTTTGTACGGCACTGGTAACAGTTGGCTACGATTCAGTGGCGTTTGTTCTAAGTTAGTAAACCAGCTTTCTAAAGTAAGACGCTGATAGTAGTCNCCCCCCCCCCCCGGGAACTCAGCTAACTGGTGAACAAACTTATGAAAGTTTTTTTCAGGTAAACGGTGGTCACACTTCGGTGTGAGTCGGTGTTGTTGATTAGAACATCTAGGAAAGGTAGAACATGGTCAGTTTCCCGCTCCATTGTAAAGTGTGTATTAGGGTGTTGACGGTTGATGTAATTGAAGAAAAGGGTTAGGGATAGAAGTTAAAAGAAGTTTCACGTTTCAGTCGTGCAAAACAACGGGTTGGTAATGTACAAAAAAGTGTGCTGCACGTGTAAAGTAGGGTTTTTTTTACCAAATAGAAAAAAACGAGTGCTGCACGTGCAGAGTTGTTTTTTTTTTGCTGGCCTAATTAGCTCTATTTGGTTTTAACCGTTCCCGTTGTCTTCACCTTGTCTTCAACATTACCCGATTTTATATTTCCTTTAAGAAAACTATTAATATAAAAAAGAACTTCGCTTTTAGCCCTGGCTAAATCTATGTATTATCTTGTACAATGCTATCTCACCACAGATATTGAACCACCAACTTTGACCTATTGCCCTGAAGACATTACGATAGAAGAGATACAAGACAATCGGATCAGAGTAAACTGGCAGCGGGCAACTTTCACCGACAATTCAGGCGACCCACCGATAATTATCTCAAACAGACAAAATGGAGATCAATTCAACGTTCCTGGTTCCTACGAAATTGTATATACCGCATCTGACAGTTCTGGAAACAGGAACAAGAACTGTACATTCAGGATAACGTTGAAAAGTAAGTTGCTACAGATATTTTAACGCAATCATAAGTAATTATGTGTTCGCTCTACAAAACATTTAAAACAAATCTATCCGTAGTATTTGTCCTTTCCATCATGCACTTGCTTAGTTAACTATTTATTACAAATTCGAGAAATGCGTTCGACAGGGAAAGATGATGAGAAGGATGAGACGGAGAGGGTGTATGCTGAACGAATCCTATTCTCTGACAATTCGCCATGTTCTCAACAAGTGAAAAAAAGGGCACGATATGTGACGCAAAGCTTCTTGAGATCAGTTGGATGGACAGCATGAAAGTAGACAAACATCTTTAACTACTTGGGAAACTATGAAATAGGAATATTTTAAAGAAAGGCCGAGATTAACGAGCTGACACTGCTAATTTAGACTGTACCTTTCCAAAAGAATAAAAATTGGCACTGGCCCGGTCAATTGTTTCACTACCATTATCCTGGCTGAGTTTACGGTGTCACTTTCTACCCTGTAAACTCACACAGGTTAAAGTATTAATTGATGAAAGTTGTGTTGCGACTGTTTCCTTTACAGAAAAACAGTGTCCTTTTTATTCGCCACCCCAAGGTGGTGCCCTGGTCTGCACCAATCCAAACAAAACTGATAAAATTTGTGCAGTTATGTGTCCTACTGGCACCGACTTCAACTTTAACCCGCCTCTGCTCTACCTTTGTTTTGCTGGAGAATGGAGTCACATATCGGTGCTCTCTTATGTTCCAACTTTACCCTGGCCAAACTGTTCTGGTAAGTGCTCTTAATAACCTTCCTTTTTTTTCGTTTTGAGTGCTTTGGTTATATTTTTAAGGTTCATTAATTATTTAGAAGGCTATTAGCCGATAGGGGTTCCCCATTTTGATCAGATGCACATATCTTGATATCGTATTGAAAAAGAGATCAAGCTTAAAGATACGTCCGATTTAGTTAACTGATCAAGAAACTAATCAACTAAGTTGAATTTTTAAGAGCAAAACCTTCATCAAATTTATTTTGAGAATTTCAATTCTAGAAAATTTGGAGTAAACAGCTTTGCTCAAACACAAATTGTTTACCGAACAACGCATTCAACAAGTGGGACCGGATGAAAACTAGCACTCGCGTGTTTTTTTTATTTGAGTGGGTCCATCTCTTCATCAATACGATCCAATACTGTGTCAGCAACAAAAACAGTTTACCTTTTTGAGTGACAGTTATACATATGTATATTACTCGTGATAATGTAATAAGAAACGGTAACTGACAAACTGAACTAACCAGTAATTTCATATAAAAGCCAGGAGGCCGCTCAATTAAAACAATAATAGATTTGAATGATCAACTGGATCCGCATAATATAAGGATTTTCTCATTGTTTTTCCTTGTTTTTCTCTTCATGCAGCTGGGGTGAATCCTTCATCGATAAAGTTGTCAAACCTGCAATATCATTACTATGATGGAGATGAGCATAATTCCAACGTCCAGGCCACCATCAAAGAAAAATTCTACCAGTTGTTAACGTCTCAGTTTGTTCTTCCTATCTTTTGCAAGAGTTCCCCCAGTTTCTGCCTGAAGGATAAAATGTCAGTTTATCCTGGGATCAACGGTAAATCACAAACTAAAGCCTGAATGGATTAATATTCTTTTGTTTAAAATTGAAATTAGCCTGAATAGCCGCGCTTGAGATAATGTATTCTTTTGAATTTTGTACTGGAGAACGAGGCTAGTCAGGCTAATTTTGATTTAAACAAAAGAATATTAATCTAGCAGCCATTTTTGCATTGTTGGTCTATGGTCAGCTTTAGGCGAATCCTTGATTACATTTTGCTTCATTACCATATGTTCATCATTGTCTGATAAAGCTACCGGAGTGGTATTTCTAGCAATTCGTGGTGGGGGTGTGCCGTCCTACTCTTCAAATCCTGACCCTAGACCTTATTTCAGACCAATACCTATTAGGCAAATGTAAGGGAGTACCCCTCCGGGATTTTTTGTGCACAAAATGAACGCAATCATATTATTAACTGACAAATCCGAGGGGTATCCAGGGTGGGGGGGGGGTGTGTTTTCCCGCTCTCCAAATCCTGACCCTAGACCTTATTCAGATCAATACCTATAAGGCAAATAAGAGAGTACTCCCCTGGGGATTTTCGTTGTTATGGTGATAAACGCTATAAAAATTAACTTGGTAACAATAAATCATGTTAAGCAAAGGCGGCCATCATAAAAATGAAGATGTGTTTGAAGCTAGCGTACTAAGCTTTTTCATCGTCTCCTTCAAAAGATTTTGTGGTTTTTCTTCACTTTTTGCTAAAGTTTAAACCTTTTAATGAGTTTATTCCCTTCCAAAACGTGATTGCAAATCTGTCTGCGGTGTGTAGCTACAGTGTGTGTGTGTACATCCATTGACTAAAGACGTCTCTACAGCTATCAATGGCACTTTTTTTCGGTTTAAAATGTGACGGCCAATGTCTCTTTTATCTTATTGCGATTCTTACAGGAAAGGAATGTGCTCATTGTAGATCACCACGTCAAAAAAATGTATATATACTGGAATTTCCGGTTAGGTCAAATTAGTCCGCGGGGCTCTTACGCGCGCGAAGCGTACGTGGGACAGAACCCCATACTCATAGAATATGGTCAACCTCTTTTCGTTTGGTTTTCACGAGATTGACCGAGCGTACGTACGCGTCTACAGATTGTACGGGTGGGGTAGGAGGGACTATCAAAAGGAAGGGAGGGGTGTCTCAGGCGTGTCTTGGCAAATCCACATCTTTTATATTGGACATTCACAATATGGTCAATTGATAGCTGTCAAAACAGGATAGCCACTGACCAGTATCATATGACCATATCGCGGGCTCATGTGTCAACTCGTTGAAGTGACGTGATTTATTTGGAAGCTGTTCGCTGACCAGTTAATTGATTTACTAGGTCGCGATCAATGGTCAATCTCATACTTTCTAGCTAGTTTAGGAGCACAGGAAAACTGATAATGCACACATATTGGACATCAATTACAACTTGTCTCTTATACATTGTCAATGAAATACTGGTTTTACTAGTCTATACTAGAAATGCTATCAATGCCGGGTACTGGGTACTTTCCGAAAATCGCAAAAATTAATTCTCAGCAAGAAAAACCAATCTGTCCTTATCGTAAAAATTAGTTCCCGCAAAACACAAAAAATCACCAATCCGCAAAAATAAACTCCCGCAAAAATTTCGGGCCACACGGTAATTCAAACAGCTACATCAATGTACAAAAATCATGATTAACTTATCTCTGCGACATTTTGTGTTGAATCCCCACAAAAGCGGTACATCGATTTTAGTGAGATAGTTCATGAAAGCTGTGGTCATTGTGACTAGTGTACCCTCCAATTTATCAAAGTTTTTTATACCTCTTAAATGGAGGTTAAAAACCCAGGTTTCTGGACCCAGAAAAAGTGTTCCTTAGGGGACTAATCTCCACGGGGAAGTTATCGCCATTGTCTATGTTTCTAATACACACGTAAAAAGAGGCCTTGGTTTAAAACACAGGGGACTTACCTCCACAGAGAATTTATTTGGTGTCCCAAGGGAAAGGGTCCACTGTAACAGGTTGCTGTATTTGTTCTTTGTAGAGGGGTCAAACTGTCCAGCCGGATGGGTTAATAATGGATCCTCGTGTTATTACGTCAAAGATACCCCGACGTTGAAACAGAGCGATGCTCGCCAACACTGTCAAAATCTGGGGGGAGATCTGGCCATAATCAAGTCAGAAAATCAAAACGATTTCATTTTCAGCTTGATACAAAGCCAAAATACATTCACAAAATGGGGTGCATGGATCGGAATCCAGCGAAAGGCCGACGGAAAATTCTATTGGATTGACAACACTCCAGTAGATGGAGGCTACTCGATCTGGGCTGGCGGAGAACCAAATAATGCTGGCGGTTCCGAAAATTGTGTCCAAATGTATGGGAACGACCGATTGGGGAGAAATTGGAATGACTTCTCCTGCGAACTGGGAAGTCATGTAACTGATGCCCCGGTGATACTGTGTCAGAAGACACTGGTTTGAGATGGTAATTGATCAAAGATTATTAGTCAACTCCTTCTGTGCTATTGATTAGGCTAAATTCCTTCAAGAGACACTAATTATTATACTAAATGAAGCGTTACTTTGGTTGGCATATGTCAATAAATTTGTTCAGTTAAAGGAAACCTGAGACAGAAATGAATAAAAACGCGGTGTTGGGAAGTTGTTGGTATGAATGTTTTGTTTTCGTTTCATGAACAATCATATATAAACTGTTTCGGATTTATGGGAGTGGCCCAGGGGCCCGAGTCCCCCAACTTATGTTCGGGGCAGTCAACAGGGGCCTAAATTAATTGCTACAATTGCTTAATTGCTACATTCCTGAGTTTTGTTCTAGTAGCTGCTAGAAGGCAGCTCCTCGAGATCAAGGAAGTAGGGAGATTCAAAGATCGATTTCGAACGTTTTCGCTAGGACGAAGTTGAAAGCTTGAAAGACTATTTAACTTTTGAACACTATGATCTTTAGTCAAAGCCAAAAGGTGATTTTCATTTTGCCTATTTTCCAACCGATATGGCTATACGCAAAGTTAGGGCGCACCTCCTTTTAAAGCACATTCCATAATAGAAACAGAGAATGGTATGACTGTGGCGTTATCAACTTAGTTTACATCATGACTTGGCCACTGCAAAGAACTGTAAGCAGACTTTTCAAGCGCTATAATCTATAAAAGTCCAAAAATATACATACATATATATATTTTTTTATCCAACTTTGTCCGGAATTTGCATTCTCTTATAAACAGGTCGATTCCAGTGGTTTTGAAGCAAACTGAAGTTAATAAAGGTGGTTAGAGGCGCACCTTATCAAAGTCCTAATTATATTGAGTATGGCTAAATCTCAGTATTAGCCTTGACTTTATCAATAAACAGTGAGATATAGTCAACTGTGATTGATCATTAAACGCATGGTATGTTAAGGGTTGAGGGAGAGGAAGGACTGGGATTGAAAAGAGACGACAGACGGTTGCTATGGCAACTAACTTCGATGAAGCCCTTTTTAGCCAAAGCAAAAAACGAAACAAGCAAATGTATAAAACAGTTCGAAAAGCAGCAGTGTTAAAACTGAATAACATTTTACGCACGAGAGGTTGAGTAAATGCTCGAGTTTTGTAAAGTGACGTCGTTGGTCCCCAGTACAAACATAAACTAGAGTAATCATCTCATCTTGTACAGCTCCTCATATAGGTTGTCTAAAACGGCCTTGCCGTAATAAAACCAATATGGAGGGCAACGATTTAGAGGTAAGAACATTTGATATTAGGATAAGGATAATAGTATTTCTGGCGTACTTTGAAAACTGCTTTTCTTGTCGGTTTTTGCCATTACACATTGGACGCCTAGATTCTTTCTGACGACAATGTAGATGTTTGTTTGTTTGTTTGCACTAAAGAACAAAACTCTCCAAAGGCCGATGCTGACTTGCTTTTGCGGCTACCCTTGGCCACAACCCTCTCTCCTCTGTGGAGGCTCAAAGGGGCATGGCGAAAGTGAGCGCAGGCGCAAAATGTGCTTCAATCTTTTGGTTTTCACGCCTTCACTCACTTCGCACAGCGGAAATCCAATAACACCTTTCGAACCTCTGGGGAGGGGAGTCAGAGCCTACAACTCATTAAGAATATACACTATAATTAACATACACACAATACCTGATCATAGTAATATTGAAATTTAAGATGGCCTCTTTCAGAAGTTACTCGTCTCAGTAAAGTTATCTTGCTTATTTCTCTAAATTCAGAAAAATGGTGATCATGATGATGATGATGATGATGATCTATTGCCAACGCATGTTATTTGTAGCTATTAGATGTCCTACGCTTCAGGTTCTTAACTCTCATCCACCTAGTGTTACTTGCTCGGCTATCGATAACCGTGTTAATTCCAACTGTGCCTTTAAATGCCCTGCTGGGTACCAGCTGAAAGGCTCTGAGGTGCGCGTTTGTCAATCCGACAAGACATGCTCTGGAACTCCAACGACCTGAGAAGGTATTAGACTTTAAACTCTAATTTAAAAACCATTTGCTTTTCAAAGTTCTTGATTGCCTAACGCACTTACTATATACTCAGTGCCTGATATTGTGTGTAGCGAGCCGGTGTGAAAACGAAACAACTGGCAACTTCTTTGTAATAGTAAAGTTTTGTGATGTTTAACGTAACTATGAAGAAGTAGTTAAAAAAATAATACTGTTCCATAAAAGGCTAAAGCAGCCTTAGTATACGAAATGAACATTTTACAAACTTAGTTGTTTATTTGAGATAAAAAAATATACATATTAGTGTAGAATCGAGGGTTGTATACAAGTACTAACGCAACCTTTTACTCTCCTCCTCACTTTTACTCTCCTGATCTTCACAGCAAAGGTGTTGTCATTCTTAACATAGTATGCGCTCTCCCCTTCCATCCGCAGAGGCTCCCGCTGGGCATTCCAACAAAAATATATAAAAGTGATTAAAAAATCCACCTATCATCGGGCCGTGTCCAAGAAATATTGTCAGAGAAGAGGAAAACATAGAAGTGAGAGTACTCTGGACGACTCCAGTTTTCTCCGACAATTCAGGAAGTGTTAAGTTCTCTTCAAACTAACAAAGCGGAGAATTATTTGCTGTTCCCAGCACCTAAGTAATGGTGTATACCGGAAAAGACTCGTCAATATCTTACCTTGTCCACGTAGTTGAAGCCAATTATTTTCATTCTCCCATTTGCTTTATACATTGGTTTTTCTAGGCTTACTAGACCCTCCTCTTGCTTCTGACACTACATTGGAAACGACAAGTTACAGCACGTCAATTCCAGCCTTTGTTTAAAACATCAGTGCATTCCTTAGTTTTCTTGTTTGTATAATTACATTGTTTAATAATTGTATTTATATTTAGGTAATTTTGCCTATTTTTTACACTTACATTATTCTCGCCTTATTTATATTTTGGTTTCTGCTTGTAACTGTTGTTAACTCATGCCAAAAATGGTAGCGATCAAGGGATGGCAGGACCTCAATGCCCTTATAAATACCGTATTGAGTTGGATTCCAGTCTTAGCAAGATTACAAGGAAAGAAATGCAAGATGCATCCGATGGATTGAATGGAGTTTGTAATAATCTATTAAGACTAAAGAACCTGTTACATCATGCATTATAAAATAACTAAGATAGTACGCGCGTTACGATTGGCAGAGAGGCGTGTTTGCAAGAGAGTTTATAAACATGGTTGTGGCGTCAAGTAACGCGAGAACGACTTTGAAAAAGTTTTTGAGTTGAAAACTCCATAAGTTTACTTTATTTACCCATTTCCTCGGCGGCTGAAACTTTGAAAATCTTTACAAATATGCGGTGCCAATTTTTTTTCGCTTAAGCTAACATTTGGAGCGAGAAAAATCCGTATTTTGGAAAGCATCATTTTTGCAAATCAACAAGATCTGGCGAGCAAGACTTCGTGTACAAGACTTCGCGACTGGTGAGAATTTCTCTTTTAATTAGTTCCATAACAAAGAGTTTTGGGTTTTTTCTCGGGAAAGTTACTTTATATAGGCAATAGAAAACTTTCCCCCCGTATTTGCATAGCCTGATATACACACCCGAGGGGTTGGGAGAAGAAGTCGAGGGTTTACGTAACTGTCGAGAATTCTCCAAACCCCTGGGGTGTTTGTATCGGGCTATGCAAACACGGGAAACCTTTTCTGTTGCTTAAATTTTACGTTGTGTTACGTCAGTCGAGCTTGAGAAAGCACAGGATTTAGTCTCTTCTTTTGTGACCGAAACCATTCGGCTAATGGAAGTAGAATCACGCTTTTCTAATCTTTATACTAGACTCTTGATAGTAGTCAACGGGGATATTTAACAGAACCAAAATTGAACGCGATGAAAACTACGCCTGGAGTAGTTGCCGAAGTAAAAAATAAAATGTGTTTAGCTGAAGCCCATCTCATCGTTGTTGTTTGCCAAAAAGCGTTATCATGTTTTTTTCCGCAACATAATCGTCAGCAAGAATTTTTTTCCACATCCATTTATATCCTTATATCACAGTCCATGTTTCATAGGTATATAAAATGAAGTCAACAAGAACGCTCTTAAATCGTTGTTTCGTCTCGCTTGCTTGAAGACTACATAAGAAATGAGGAGGTGATTAATTCTACACGAAAGACGATTTACTCGCTAAAGATTTTTTACTTCCTAATTTAATTGATCGACGGTCGAGTATTCTTTGGAATATTTACTTTTTATATCGTATTTGACGATTTGTTTTTCAATTGATTTAGTACGCTTGTTAGCAACGACCGGAAATACGTCTGCGGTCGCAGGCTATACGCGTGTATAATTACACGAAAATTCAAGGGCCTCGATTCGAGAGAAATTACATCATTGCCAGAGATAAAAAACGTGATGAGAACATGGCGCGTCATTTCAATCGTCGCCGAAAACAATCCGCATGCTCATCACAAAACTCATTTGCATACAGTGTTCACTTGTTCTAAAGTAATCAACGCTTTTAAGCGATAGAATTCGTGGACCGGCACGTTTCGGAAAAGCTCTAAATTTACTCTTTTCTAAGCTTTCTTCACAGAACATGTGTGGCTTCGGTCATGCAACGATTCTTATTGCCAGTTTCCATGGTCTCCGCTAGGAACACCTAGTACCATGATCCCTGTTTGCGTCCTAAATACGAAGAAAAATGGCTTGCAGATTATGAGTCTCGCTGCTTACGCAAGCGAGACTAAAGAGTCATTGGTACCTCTAGCAGCACTTGTTGTACAGGTTGTACAGGTTGTAAAAACCATTGAAAATGTGGTCTGAACTACTATTTGAGAGCCTGAAACAGGCTATGTTTTGAGAATATCTGAACCATGTACTCGTCAAGATCGCCTGTTATCGAATACTATCGATTGTCATTGTTTTTAATCGATTATAATCGATAAATTATTTTTTCAGTCACTTCGATTTCTATCGATTTCCGACATCAATCGATAGCAATAGGCGGATAATATCTATTG